TCAATAGTAAGGTATTGTTACTACTTTTTCAGGTCAAAATAAGACATTGTTACTAATTTGTCAGATCAATAGTAAGGTATTGTTACTACTTTTTCAGGTCAAAATATGACATTGTTACTAATTTGTCAAGTCAATAGTAAGGTATTGTTACTAATTTGTCAAGACAATAGTAAGGTATTGTTACTACTTTGTCAGATCAATAGTAAGGTATTGTTACTAATTTGTCAAGTCAATAGTAAGGTATTGTTACTACTTTGTCAGATCAATAGTAAGGTATTGTCACTAATTTGTCAGATCAATAGTTATATATTGTTACTAATTTGTCAGATCAATAGTTATATATTGTTACTGATTTGTCAGATCGATAGTTATATATTGTTACTGATTTGTCAGATCAAAACAAGACATTTATACCACTTTTTCAGACCAATAGTACAACATTGTTACTTCTTTGTCAGATCAGTCACCAGATGTTGATCTTTATTTGCAGGTCGACTTGAATGGCAGGAAAAGATGAAATCTACAGGACCTGCCCCACCCAAAGTGTCCAGGTCACTGCAATGTCAGTTATCCAGTGGACTAACAGACCCAGTAATGTAAATAGAATCAACTTATATTGTATTTAAGTGAAAAACATGTAGAGCAAAATAATTTTTTGTTTTGTTTGAAGTTATTCTTATAAATTGATGGCAGTATCATTGGGTAGTACCTGTGTACCATTCCCCTGTTGTAGCTTCATTATCGTGTTGTGTGCTTATTAATCAATTCCCAACCATGTTTGACATCTGTGTATAAGCAGAAGTGTAAATTCACTGGATGTGTAAAACCATATTTCAGCATGGTATTATTAAGGGGAAATCACATAGAGGATTCTCGATCATCTTTAACGATATTCAAACTTAAATACATCGCAGTTGTTAATTTCGTTATCAATTAACATTATAAAAACAGGGATTTAAACTGTTCTTCAATTCAAAATGATCAAAGAAAGAGTTACTCTCGTTCTGACATTTTGTAAAATTAACGTAGCCAAAAACAGTTTCTACCCAAGTCCTTTCCTCAGTTTCAATGCTTGGCCAAATCCTTGCATACATGTATATATAATACAATGAGACAGCTGTGATTTCATTGGGTGGTGTTTTTGAAATGACAAAATGAATAGGTTTTGATAAAAATTTGTCCAGTATACTTTCTACACAACTTAGATGCCTTGCAGAATTCACGAATCTTCGATAAGGCTACAATAATACAGCCACAGATATTATTATTAGTGCCCTTTATTCCTTCATTATATGATGTATAATCATTTCACCGGACAGGTTGCAGGCAACACATCAACTTTCATGGACTTCATTAGATAAATCTTGATACATATAAATATATATGCAAGACCACACACTTGTGTGTTTTTCTACCGAATCAGAAAGCACAAGTTTATTGCGCGGACGAATATTTTCGTCCGCGCAATCTATGAGTGCTTTCTGATTCGTTAGAAAAACATAAGTGTGTGGTCTTGCTTTTATCACAGACCTTCCCTTCCGTATTTGGTAGAGATCGATACAAAGATTTTATAAACTTTGATATTTTTTGCAAATACCGGGAACTTTTCAGTTCGCCATACATGACAAGAGGATTCCCATAAAAAGTAGTTCCGGCTAGTAGGTAAATACAACATTCTGTATTACACATGTGCAATACAGAACGTTGTATTTCATGGTCTGAAAATTGCTTGTATTACTATAACAAGATTCAACAGGTATGTGATAAAATGTGATATATTTGAAATCACAACTTACTCTCCCAATAAACTAAGGTGAAAATAAATATGTCCATGGTTTACAATACTACGAAAATAGCACCGCTACAAACTTAGCTCTGTAAACATTTGAGCTTTCTTCGGGCACAATATTGGGCCGGACCGGAGGTCAACTTATTTGGTTGTTGTCAATATTCATGCGTAAGATTCTATTCTTTACTTTAGAACAACGTATACAGAATGTATTCATTGGTAGTGGATGCTGAATGTGTTTTTTCCCCCTTTGGCAGCAATGCTTCCAACTGGCCAACAGATCTGATCATGCAGTTGATACCACAGTCCTTGCTCAACTCCTCGCAGTTAACTCCCTTGTTTAAAAAATCGAGACAGGTGGGGTTCCACTTCAACAACCACAACTTGGAGGCCCTGCGTAACCTCTACAAAGTCATGCAGACTGGTTTTGTAAGTAACACATTTCCACTTGGTCGCGTACTCTAATCATGCTCGAACTCACCATTAACTCTCCGTTGTCGACGTCATACCATTAGTCTATGACTACTATTGACGCATCTTCTGGTGTTACTGGTACACACTCTAATTGTTGAAGTACAGAGATTATTATCAGGCTTGCACTTCCAACTTATTTTGCATAACCAAGAGGCCAAGGATGATGATATTAAGCCAGTAGCATATGCTCGGATGATCATTGGGCTACCAATGATGTTGATTTATTTATATTCATAAAAGATGCTATATAATCCTTTTATGAAGTAATAAAATTGCTTTTAGCATAGTTATGAACAAGTTTTTACAGTTATATGTGTATTATGAATTCTTGATATTCTTCTTTGTTTGATCACATTTGTTATGAACCCCCCCCCCCATCTTTGTCATTATTTGTCAGCCTATTTTTATACGGCCATCGAATGACGGGATGTAATATATATGTTATCATGTGAGTGGGCGGGCCCGAACAGGGTTCGGTCGATATCTCAAGTAGTTTACAACGAATTAACTTCAAACTTCATAGCCAGCAAGGTTCATTACCATGAAAGCTCGAACAAGTTCAATAAACGGACAGTAATTTATGGAGTTATGGCCCGTTATTCAATTGCCAAAAAAGTGTCTGCTCAAAATCTTGAGTAGATTTTCTACAGATTTACTTCAAATTTAATAGGATGGTTCATTACAAGTTTCATGATAGCTCGGACAAGTTTGATAACCACCATTGTCCAACCGTAATTTATGGAGTTATGGCCGATTATGTACAACCATACAGACAACTGCTTTAATATCAATGTATGACTGGCATATTATGTTCCGCTTTAGCCTTGTTTATTATTATTTACTTAACTTTTCAGGCTGGATGTGTGCACTTTCCCTCGAGCAGTCAGTGTGAGGTCCGCGTCCTCCTCCTCCTGTTCAGCAGCAAGCGTAAGGCTTTCATTGGTCTAATCCCCAACGATCAGACGGCCTTTGTCAACGGAATCCGCAATGTCATCTATACTCACAAGGTCAAGGTTGGTCCGCCACTGGACTGTATCCATAACAACCTATACCATGTTGTCGTAGCGTAGGGTGATGGAAGGTATTCGCATGCATGCAAACTTGTAACCCTGGCGATGTATACATACCCTAAGCATATCATTAGAAGGTCTTCTCTCACTGCTCACTGAAATTATCACCTTGATATAGAGGTTAATGCATTTTCATTGAATCTGATCTTCACAATTCTTTCCTGATAATTTACGAAATAATGTTATCTGAGTTGTTATAGAACAAAAATATAAATTGATGAAATATCTAAATTGAGCATTAAATTCATATGACAGAGTTGAACTTTGAGTATGCTGAATAAGTCTGCCTTGCATATTTCTAGTTCTGAGCCTGGTCTATAGTGTACGGTGTTGTAGTAAGGCCCTACCTATATCTTGGTCAACTCTTTTAAAGTTCTTCATAATGAACATTCAGTTGAAATTTGTTTTGTGGGTTGAAATGCAATGTATTGCTATTCCACTATCGGAATTGGATGAAGAAAATTCTAATTATGGTAGATTTTCAAGACATTCTTAGCTTGTATTTGATTGAATTACTGTAAGGGACTTTCCTAGAAATCCTAGAAGTGTTTGTATATCATTCTCTGAATTCCTACCTATTATGATAGGTGGTTTGCTGATGTAAATCCCTTTCTTGCTTCCGTTTGTCATATATTTAGCTATCTTATAGGTTCTTGCATGAACATCTGACAGCACGCAACATGATGGTTAGCTAGGGTGTTAGAAATTTTAACCTGAAGAATGAATAATAAATAATTGCTCAGCAAACAAGACTTTGCTAAATCTCGAAAATGAAAATTACTTTTTTATGATCATGATTTGCGAAAAATTTGCAATTACATATAGTTAGATTCTGACATTATTGAAATAAAGTTTTTAATCAAACTAGAGTTCTAATTTACTAGTGGAAAATTCTGTTATGCAAACATATATCTATGAGTGATGTTCAGATGTTCATATATTTTAATAGAAAGTAGAAAAGAAAGTAGAATTGACTTTTCACTACATTGATGTTGAATGGCATTTTGAAAGTACTGGTCCCCAAAACACAGAGCTGTGTGCATCTGTATGTGATAGTTGATCAGTTATAAACGTTTTAGTATAGACTCAAATAGCTTTTAAAACTGCATTATCCATTAATTATGATAAATTTTGTCCTTAGATCTTAGAAAAAAACTTGTATATGTATCACGAGTCATTTTAAACCTTAACGTTGTTAACTTTCTTCTTATGAAATACCTGTACTCTGTTGGTGCTTCTACTCGCCTGTCGAGAACAATTCTTGCCTCTTCCTAACTGGCCTGCCAGAGAGTTTTCACATTTTATTCTCTCTCATGTCTCCTTTTGGTCTGGAATCCTCGAGCTTGTTCTTCATTATAAATCTCTGGTTATGTTCATTCCAACTACATAGGATTACTGGGAGGTGGTGCTTTGTAATTTGATTCAGACAGAATGAAATAGATATATATATATTACTGTATAGTGCTTTAAATTTGCGGGATCATTGTTTCGCGGTTTCGTATTCGGTACATATTCGCGGGGTTGGGTGTTTAAATTTCGCTGTGCACCCAAATCCCATGTGTCGTGCAAAGTATTTTGATTGTCATAATTTAAGGGTTAAACCTCGAAATACAGGTAAAACGTTTGAAAACACTGATCCTGAGCGTCGTCATCCCCCAGTGACTTCACTCGAAAGAAAATCAAATGTTTATGTACCTTTGTAGGAGTAAACTGTACAAATAATATGTCGTGGCCACTTACATGTAAGTGTTGTGTTAACATGGACTGCCAAATTGTCCGGTGATAATCTGTTAATAACATGTTGTGATAAGGTCCATAAAAGTTGTTAACATTTTCGATAATTTCGCTGGTATTTAGAATTCACGAATATTAGTCAAAGCGCAAATGTAGCGAAATTAAAACCCCCGCTAAATATAACCGCTATACAGTAACTTTTTAGCCACCCACCATCAGATGATCATGGGCTGTTCAAATCACCCTTTGTCTGTGGTCTTTATACGGTATATACAGCACTATGTCTCGGGCAGTACTGAGGGTATCTTTCTCAAATTTAACATTTAGGTTCCTCATTGATCGTCTCTAGTTGTAAATGTTGAATTTTGGGACTGATCGAAAAGAGTGCAACAGCTGGTTATCGCTATTTCCCATGAAGTATTCAAAGGATTGTTATGAAGTTAACATATAGGTTTCCCATGGTCTCTGTCATAGTTGTGCATATTTAATCTTAGGACTGATTGGAAAACCAAGATGGCCAACAGGAGGCCATCTTGACTTTTGAGAGTTGAATTTTGTTAGTGCTTTTCCTTTGTGTTGGCGGAGTCGTTCTCAAATTTCACATGAAAGTAACCACATCATGCATTTACTATTTATATGACTCATCCAAACACATAATAGAAAATCAATCTGACATAGAATTAATGAAGATCTTTCAATGCGCCAAATTCCATCTGAGATCACTTATCATTTAATGAGGATTTTTCTGTTGCTTTAATGGAGGAAAATTAATAACTTTATGGCTAACCTGTGCTGTAATTTTTTTTTTCTGGTATTAATGCAGAGCAAGAAAATATATAAAAAAAAATCTGGATAATGCAGCTTTAATGAGACAAATGCTTAATTAGAATTAAATTGTGCAGATTATTGCAATTTTGGTAGTTATTATATGCTTGTAGTAAATTAAAGCCCATGCTATAATTCACATTGTTTAACCATAAATTTCAAAAAGGCAACTATTTTTAATAACTAGTTATGATATATTATCTCAATATTTTTCGTTTTAAAGTAATAATTTTTATTCCATGAGGTACTCAACAGTGCTTATGATTACAAAGTGGGGACATTCTGACTTAGCATAAGGTCATGTGAAGGAAAAGGGGTTTCTTACATCTGATGGTACACATGCTACATAACAGAAAATGCTGAGTTGACCATAATTAACCAAAAAGTAAAATAATATAAGCACTGAGGATATTTTTTCCCCTTAACTCATTCACCCCTGAAGACACATTTGAACTTTTCCAATTCAAAGGTTGGAATAGTCCATTATGAAATTTCAGGGGGGAATGAGTTTTTTTGTGTAAACTATATATATATGACAACACTTAATTAGCAGATATTTACAGAGTTTCATACACTGATGATAATTTTTAAAATTGTTATCATTGCTTAAAATCAGAAATAATTATGTACTTAATAAATCATGACTAGAAACCCCCCATTGAAACTGATTTTTATGATGGCACTTTCTTTAATGAGAGTGATAAGCAATTTGAAAAAAACCAATCAGTTTTATTTTTGTATTTGAGAAAGAAGGTACAGAAAATGCTGAATTCATCAATCTTTCAAAATGGTCCAATGTGCTAGATCTAAAAATATCTAAATGTACAAATAAGTTATATGAAATAATCGTTTAAAATGCCAGATTTTAAACTGTTCTATGGTAATGAATTAAATTTTAGCATTAAAATCTTGAGCAAAAAAATCAAACAGTAGGTAATTCCACAGATTTTAAAATTATACCTGGGGATATAAATTCCAAAAATACCCAGACTTGGCCGGTATGTTGGTGATATGCTAAGGTTGTAGCTATAGACTGCTTCAGGTGCTTTGCATGCTGGTCACTGTTGTATATCATATACTCCCATCTGTATTATCATGATTTTGTTCTTAATTATTAATTTTAACAGCATTTCTGACCAAAACATGTCGGTGAATTCCAGAAATTACTTTTTGAATTAAATATTTTGGAATGCAAATTCCTGGAAAAATTATTGGGACGTACAATATTTTGGAGTTTGATATACTCACGGTGTGGTATTTTAGTACAGTACTGTATAAACACGTATATAACGATATTAACCTTTTACTTTACCTCAGAAAACTGTTCCATGGTATATACTTTTGACTTACAACAATCCTAATTAAGTGTTTGGCCACTATCAGACTTCATTAGATAGACTTTTAAAAGAGGCAAAAAGTTTATAACATTTCCTCATGGGTTTTTTTCTTAATTCATATTATTAATGATTTTTATTTTTTTAATAATTCAAATTTACACTGACTGATGTTATATAGGGTATAACAGACAGACAGACAGACAGACAGGTAGACAGACAGACAGACAGACAGACAGTTTATTGGTATACCAAATTGCAGCTAGTTAAAATTTAAAATTAATCAAAATTTTATTGCATGGATTCAAGATTAAGCTTTTTTTTTTTTAATGGTCGAGTGAATATAGTTTTTGGAACCAAAACAATCCTATCAGTGATTTTCAGTGTTTAGTACCTGCTAGGGACTTCATTTGGGAAGGTTTGTTTCTGGATGAAGCTTTGACAGCTCATGACGATAGCTTTATGTATCAATATGTAGTGATTTATCATACTGGCATGAACTTAAGATATATCTGGAGTAATTTTCTTTAAAATTCTTCACCCAAGTGCCTGCATATTAATTGTGAAAGATAAGGTTTTGTCTCTTATCACAGTCGAAGATGCTACAGCAACAACAGCAGGGCCCTCAGCCTCCACGGGGGCCATACACCCAGGGCGTGTCTATGGCAATGCAGCAGGTACAGCTTCCCCCTACCCCATCACCATGGTTACAATGTCAAGGTCATTACATCAAGGTCAAACCCTTGGTGTATAAATTGTTGATTTCATTGTCTGAAGTCCACCATTTTTAGATCAGCAATGTGTCAATGTGAAGGCGAAACCCTTAGGGTCAAGGTCGTTCATGTCCATATCAGTCGTGTAATATGAAGGTCAACCTCTTTATATAAGGTCTATAATATCAGAACAAACCCTTGCTTTACCTCACAGATGTCAATCTTACAATGTCAAGGTTGTACCTTAAATACATCAATGAAAATCCTGCAAATTTAATACAGAAATAGAGTCTCAAAAGTTTGTCAATGTAAATGTATTAATTTTCCAAACCACAAATTATTTAATTCTTCAGCTACACGTTCTGTCTCTTCTGTAACATTATTTTGGTACAGTAATTTCAAAAATAGAAGTTTTCTCTTTATTATCGGTGAATTTAGTTTTCTTTTAAAAATCACATTGATATTGTGAATATTTAAATCACAACTTGAAAATCTGAAATTTCACTTTTCTTTTATAATGTATAATGGCTGAATTAGTTTTCCACTTAATTACCAATTCTTACTTATGTTTTTTTTTTGTTTCTGAAAATATTGTCCCTGTTTAAGCTTTGTTCTCATCTCTGAATTTCTCCACATCAACAGTTACTGATGATGTGTACAACCATTTAGCAGATACTTTGATAGAAAGAATGTAAGAGGTTTTTCATTATTTTGTTTTTTAATGAGTAAATGTGCTGCCTGTCTGATGATCATTATCTTCCTCTTTCAGTTTGCATGCTTGGGTCTTCCTAGATTTGCATGATGTGTTGTACTTGTTTGTGTATGAGTCACATTGTTAACGTCATATTGTATTATAGTTTAATTCTTTAAAGCAAAAAGACAATTTGATAAAAGGTTCAAACTTTTCAACTTTGAAATTATTATATATTCCATGCCAACATTAACTCATTCACCCCTGATGACACATTTAAACTCTTTCACTTCAAAGGTTGGAATAGTTCATTATGAAATTTTAGGGGTAAATGAGTTAAAAGAACAAAAAGATATTTGTATTTCTATAACCCTTGATACGGAATGTGAATAGATTCAACTCAAGTACAAAGCACCTACATTTGTACTTAATTTTATACCTGGGTGTGTACCTGCTTAACTGCTAGATTTCATATGATATTTTTTGTCAATGGTCGGTTGACTCTGTTGACTCATGGTAATATTTTAGAGATTGTGTAGTGTGTAAAAACACTCTTAAGTTTAAAAAGGAGTTATTCAATGGAAATATTTGCTTGGTTGCAATAATACCTTAAATTTGGCCCATCTGACAAACAAAAGCAAAACCAAAAAAAACAGTTACAGTAACATGTTATCCTACGTTTTTAACATTAATTGGGGGATTAGTGGTGATAGGTGTCCTAGAAGTGACAACTTTGTCACACCTGTAGTGGTAACAGCCTAAGTGTCATTTACACTTGTAATGGTTACAGCATAGTCAGGCCTGTAATGGTGATAGCCTTGTCACACCTGTAGTGGTGATAGCCTTGTCACACATATAGCGGTGATAGCCTTGTCACACATGTAGTGGTGATAGCCTTGTCACACATATAGTGATCATAGCCTTGTCACACCTGTAGTGATGATGGCCTTGTCACACATGAAGTGATGATAGCCTTGTCACACCTGTATTGATGATAGCCTTGTCACACATGTAGTGGTGATAGCCTTGTCACACCTGAAGTGGTAATCACCTTGTCACACCTGTAGTGATGACAGCCTTGTCACTCATGTAGTGATGATGGCCTTGTCACACATATAGTGATCATAGCCTTGTCACACATGTAGTGATGACAGCCTTGTCACTCATGGAGTGATCATAGCCTTGTCACACATGAAGTGATGATAGCCTTGTCACACATGTAGTGATGATGGCCTTGTCACACATATAGTGATCATAGACTTGTCACACATGTAGTGATGGCAGCCTTGTCACTCATGTAGTGGTGATAGCCTTGTCACACATGAAGTGATGACAGCCTTGTCACTCATGTAGTGATAATGGCCTTGTCACACATATAGTGATCATAGCCTTGTCACACATGTAGGGATGACAGCCTTGTCACTCATGGAGTGATGATAGCCTTGTCACACATGAACCGATGATAGCCTTGTCACACATGTAGTGATGATGGCCTTGTCACACATATAGTGATCATAGACTTGTCACACATGTAGTGATGGCAGCCTTGTCACTCATGTAGTGGTGATAGCCTTGTCACACATGAAGTGATGACAGCCTTGTCACTCATGTAGTGATAATGGCCTTGTCACACATATAGTGATCATAGCCTTGTCACACATGTAGGGATGACAGCCTTGTCACTCATGGAGTGATGATAGCCTTGTCACACATGAACTGATGATAGCCTTGTCACACATGTAGTGATGATGGCCTTGTCACACATATAGTGATCATAGACTTGTCACACATGTAGTGATGGCAGCCTTGTCACTCATGTAGTGGTGATAGCCTTGTCACACATGAAGTGATGACAGCCTTGTCACTCATGTAGTGATAATGGCCTTGTCACACATATAGTGATCATAGCCTTGTCACACATGTAGTGATGATAGCCTTGTCACACCTGTAGTGGTGATAGCCTTGTCACACCTGAAATGGTGATAGCCTTGTCACACATGTAGTGATGACAGCCTTGTCACACCTGTAGCAGTGACAGCCTTTTCACACCTGTAGTAGTGATAGCGCTGTCAAACCTGTAGTGGTGATAGCCTTGTCATACCTGTAGTAGTGATAGCGTTGTCACACAAATAGTGGTGATCGCCTTGTCATACACATAGTTGTGATAGCATTGTCACACCTGTACTGGTGATAGCCTTGTCACACCTGTAGTAGTGAGAACGTTGTCATACTTGTAGTGGTGATAGCCTTGTCACACCTGTAGTGGTGATCGCCTTGTCACACCTGTAGTGGTGACAACCTTTGCACACCTGTAGTGGTGATAGCCTTGTCCCATTGAAGTTGTGACAACCTTGTCACACCTGTGGTAGTGATAGCCTTGTCACACCTAAAGTTGTAATAGCCTTGTCACACCTGTAGTGGTAATAGCCTTGCCACACCTGTTGTCGTGACAGCCTAGTCGCACCTGTAGTGGTGACAGCCTAGTCACACCTGTATTTGTGACATTCTAGTCACACCTGTAGTGGTGACATTCTAGTCACAAATATAGCGGTGACAGCCTAGTCACACCTGTATAGGTAACAATCTTGTCACACCTGTAGTTCACATGTTATGATGACACTCTAATCACACCTGTAATGATAAGTCACAACTGAAGTGGTAAACAATCTTGTCACACATGTAATAAATGATAGTCTTGTCACACTTGTAGTGGTGACAACCTAGTCGCAACGATAGTACAGGGTGATGGTCTAGTTACACCTGTAATGACGATAGCCCTGTCACACCTGTAGTGATGATATCCTTGTCACACTTGTAGTTGTGATAGCCTAGTCACACCTGTATTACAGGGTGATGGTCTAGTTACACTTGTAATGACGATAACCTTGTCACACATGTAGTGATGATAGCCTAGTCACACCTATGATAATGATATCCTTGTCACACCTATAGTGCTTACAGTCTTGTCACACCGGTATGTAGTGGTGACAGGAAAGTCACATCAGCAGTGTTGATAACGTCATCACACCTGAATAGCTAACAGCTTTTTTACACAATGAATAAGCACAAGACCCATATTAGCACTAAAACTAACATACTACTAGCTATTATATTTAACACCTCCAGAGGTAGTGAAAGCATATATATCAATCAATTATTGCTTCTTTATTTCAGGTCCTTGGTCTCATTCTTTATCTATAACATGATTTTGGAAAAACATGACAAGTATGTAATAAAGATATATTATGGTAGAAAGGAAAACCTTTTTACATTATTTTTACCTGTCCTTGAATAGAAGTTCTGTTTGTGATTTGTAGTAACCTCCATTGTTACAGATGCAGCAACCCACTCCTAACACAATGGCTGGCCAACAACAGGTTGCCATGCCAACTCCACCTAATATGCCAATGATGACCCAGGTTTGTGTCCTTCAGTCTATTTATTGGTTGATCAGGCTTTCAAAAAAACAATGAACATGATTAATTAGAAAAAGGACTAAGGGCGTTTAGGGACATTTCCGGCCTCATTTGGGATTTAAATTTAGTTATATTCATAATCTGGAATAAAAAAAAAGTACCAATATGCAAATATGAAACTTCTGATTCATTCGATAACTGGTTTAGGAGATGGCATAACAAAGAGAGACATAAACCTGCATTTTCACAATAAAATGCATGAATATCATCTGTAGTGCGCTATTTGGTTGAAAATTAACTAAACACTCTTCAATTTTTGAAAGTCAATTAATATTTGACATGCTTAAATATTGTCTTACCTGAGTACAGTGCTCATTCGTAGAAAGAAAAAAATGTTTGTCACATGCGAAGGCTTTAGTCGACATACTTCCCTTAATGATTTTCTGATATGTTTACTTTGAAGTCATCATGTACTTTTTAGAATGTCAGTAAAAACAAACACTTTGGTGGAAATGTTGTTAAATATCTTTTTTGTTATACCATCAGAGGAAAATGCTCAAGTTCAATTTTAAAGTACTATTGGAACCATTTTCTGACCGTGTATTAATTTGGGTAGCTTGCCAATTGTGGTAACGTTATGTGACGTTACTTCTCTAGTGTAGTGCCTGCGGCGGTGGAATAGAGATCCTTAAATGTCTATAGTCACACGAAGATTGGTGATTTTGGAAGTCTATTAGTAACTAGTTGATGAAATATATTTACATTTCAGCAACAGAAGATCCAGGGTGCACCAGGTTCCCAGCCTGTAAAACAGGTCACTCCTCAGCAGCAACAACAGCTGTTAGGTACGTCTGCATCTATTACCTCCCCTTCGCCTAACTCTCCATTTCCTTTTGTTTCAGTCCAGTAACAGCAGATAGAGTGATTGTAATGTTAAAAACTATTAACAAACAAGGATTAATTTCAATTGTATTACATTACTTGAGCAATCTTATTACTGAATTGGCATCAGTAATGGAATAAATGATGGACACGTTAAAATTTGTTAAATGAGTGTGGAATAAGCAAATGACATTAAACTTTTTAAATGATTGTGCAATTAGGAATGGATATGGAAAAAAAACCTTGTTAAATGAGTATGGAATAAGCAATGGATATGAAAGAAAAAAACACTTGTTAAATGAGTATAGAATAAGCAATGGATATGGAAAAAAAACCACTTGTTAAATGAGTATGGAATAAGCGTACATGAAAATTATTTAAACTTGTTAAATGAGTGTGCAATAAGCAATGGATATGGAAAAAACACTTGTTAAATGAGTATGGAATAAGCAATGGATATGAAAAAACAACAACTTGTAAAATGAGTATAGAATAAGCAATGGATATGGAAAAAAACAACTTGTTAAATGAATATGGAATAAGCAATAGAAATGGAAATAATTTAAACTTGTTAAATGAGTATATGTAATAAGCAATGGACATGCTTTTTTTTAAAACTTGTTAAATGAGTATATGGAAGAAGCAATAGACATGAAAATTATTTAAACTTGTTAAATGTTCCAATCGCCTCTCCTTAAATTACTTCATGAAGTACAGTTGTTACCATTGATTTCAAGAATCGCCTACTCCCTACTTCTGTTTTATCATGTGTTCTAAATAATCGTCTGGGCTATTATTAGAATATATATGAAACAAATAATTCCCTGATATGACGCATTTTACAGCTTTTGAAAGGTACTACTACAGGCCTTTGAAAACAGCTTGCAAGTACAGCTATCTTCACTGTACTGCCTACTATAGTATCGGTAATAAATCAGTTCAATGTTGGTGTTTTATTCGCTTTGACAGTAAAATGGTCTTTTTCAGGAAAACACTGCTCCTTTTCATTAATGATCTTTTTGTTGTATACTATAAAATCAAACACAGACAATTTATTTAAAAATTTCAAGTTTGCCAACTTTGGGTCGTTGAAGCACATATCGAAGCTTTTGTTTCACATATTGTACTTTTGAATAAGACAAATTTGTAGATAAAAGGACTATGTATGGTTTGGGCATGTTTTGGCCCCCAAATGCATAAAAATTCAAAACCTTTAAATACACTTTCAAACAACTGTTTCTTTAATTTTGAATACTTCCCAAATTCTTTCTTGAAAATAGGTATTGGCATTTCTTATTATTGTTGCCATGGTAATAAGTTCAAATTTGTATAAATAAGAAAAAGTTTAATATTCGGTGAATATTGTCATATTTTGCGTATTTTTTTTTCCGGAAATTATACAGCGCATGCTTAAACAATCTCAATATCAAAGGATAATGTGTAGGCACCTGTAATACATCTTTAGGAGAAGTATTTGTTCAAGAATGCGCTCTATGGTAGTTAAGAAAAAAAGTAGGTGAAAGCCTGTCAAAATTGACTGAATAATGCAAATTTCATTTATTTATGCAAATATTAACTGGTTACCATGGCAGCCATAATTGAAAACACAACTAAATGTTTACATGATAGTACCGGGGAAGTATTCAAAGTTAAAGAATCTGTCATTTGAAAGTTCTATCGAAGATTTTTAATTTCAATGGACTTGGGGGCCAAAAAAGGCCAAAACTATATCTAGTCCTTTGTACATTTATATATTGTAGGTGTTGCTAAAAAACAAAAGTGTGCTACAGATGTTCACACGTAAACAAGAGTGTAGAATTGTTTCAAATCACAGGTTATGCTGATTTACATCATATTATATTAGGTATATAATAAGGTGACAGTACCCAAAATGGATCACCCAACTATCGATTTCTTCATTCATTGAAAATTCAACGGATAAAATATATATGTTTATGGTTGTAACAAGAAAAGAACTTTGATGGGTGTTCTAACGCCCAGGGCTCATGTGAGAACACTTGGGCGTCACCAATTAGCGTTTCCAGTATTTAGCTCACCTGCCTGAAGGGCAAATGAGCTTATGTCATGGTGCGTCGTCCGTCATTCCATCCGTCATCCATCAACTTTTCCTTTAAACAACTTCTTCTGAAGAACGAACAGGCCTAGAGTCATGATATTTAGCTGAAAGCTTTGTTTGTAGGAGCCTGACAAAGTTTGAGAACGAAAATTACCTTGACCTACTTTCAATGTCAAAGGGGGTAAAATGTGGTGAACACTTTAAACGACTTCTTCTGAAGAACTGAAAGGTATAGAATCTTGAGGCGTCACGATTCACTGCGATTCATTTATACAGCGATTATTTATGTTCGATTCGATTCACGATATATTTTTCTGGATTTTCGTCTGTGAGATGTTCAATTTCATTGGCTGATCTCTAAACCCTCAACCAATCGGCTGCGAGGATGCAATTTTCACAAAGCATTCATAACAAAATGGTGATCCGCCGTAAGGAAATGACAATTTGTGATGCTCCGGCAAGCTTCAAATCAAAAGTGTGGAAACACTGCGGGTTTCCGGGTATCGACGACTTATATATCTCATTTTGTTTATATTTTAAAATACAGGTGTATCGAATCGAAATAATCGAATTGTGGTACAAATATCGAGATATGAATCGTGGGTAAATTGTATCGTGACAGCTCTAATAGAATCTTCATATTTCGCTGGTAGCTTCCTGTGATAGAGGCAGACAAAATTTGAGTGAAAACAACCTTGACCTTCTTTAAAGGTCACAGGGGTCAAATGTGTCAAACACTTCAAATGACTTCTTCTGATGATTTAAAAGGTATAGAATCTCTCATATTTGGTTGGTAGCTTCCTGGGATAGAGCCTGACAAATTTTGAGAATGAAAATGACCTTGACCTACTTTCAATGTCTCAGGGGTCAAATGTGTCTAACACTTCATACGACTTCTTCTGAAAAACTGAAAGGTATAAAATCTTCATATTTGGCTGGTTGCTTCCAGGGATAAAGATTGACAAAGTTTGAGAATGAAAATGACCTTGACACCTACTTTCAAGGTCTCAGGGGTAAAATATGTCAAATTTCAAACGACATCTGAAGAACTTAAAGGTATAGAATCTTCATATTTGGCTGGTGGTTTACTGGCATAGAGCCAGACAACGTTTAAAAAAGAAAATGACCTTGACCAACATAATGTACTTACAAGGTCACAGTGGTAAATGTCAAAACACTTCAAACAACTTCTGAAGAAGAAACCAAAAAACATAGAATCATACAATAATATTTGGCTGTTACAACAGATGGAGCCGACAGAGTTTGCGAGTGAAATATTTGTAGTACAAGATAATATTTAATGAGAATATTTTGTTATGACTGCTTAAATATTCAGGTGAGGGATACAGGCCCTCTGGGCCTCTTGTTGCAATGTCAGTACCCAGAATGGATCACGGCTTGAATTTTGCAATATTTTGCACTGCAGATGAACATTTTCTTTCAGCATTTTAACATTTTATCTTTGGAATAGTTTATTAGTTCCGTTTCCTGAATTTATTCCTACAGTCCGAAACAAAATGTGTAATTCTCAAACTTGCCATTTTTTAACAACGTAAACAAAAACTAGATATTGAGCTTGAAGTTCGTCTCCTGATCCTACTTGAACTTAAAAATGAATCGTCTCTAGACTATAAATGTTTGTATTATAAGGCTAATTAATTATTGTAACAACTCCACTGTGGACACATTTATTGATTTATAAGTATTTTATAAAGAGTGATACGATTTGGTTACTGATCCAAGTTGGGTCCTGTCTCCTTATATTTAAGGGAGATAACAAAAATGACACATAAAGTATGGTCTTCTCCTTTTACTGGGATACTCTCACTGGCTTTTTGCAATTTAATGAATGGTAGAATCTGTTTTTTAGCACAGCTTCATTTGATAGAGGCTATTCGATCTGGTGTTGGTTCTTTTAATGTATTTCTGAAGAATCTGTGACGGATTCTTTAGAATTTAATTTCTATTTCGTGAGAACTTGCCACCAGGTTTCAAAATTTGTTTTCGAACCAACTCTTGATGCTATATTCTTGTAGATGAGATGTATTTTGGTCCTCCTCCAAATATGTACAGTGGTAGGTAGTCATATTTAAATTTCATTGTTGCTATGGTGACGGAATATTTCCCAGGGTGCATGGCTAACAGTATCTTTCCACTGTCAGTCTTTATAGTGTTGTTTGAAGCATGCTGGTCAGTTGAAAATCAGTGGTCAATGAAATTTGAAATAGAGCTCCGGTCACTAGTGGATAGTTTTCCTTTTATCATGCCTGCTTGCAACCCTTGGTCGCCATAGAAAAAATAGTTCCAGTTGGGCTGCTGTGTTATTTATCATTATGCTAATTCCATGCTGTTTTATGATATATATTTATATATATATATATAGTTTGATACTGTGCTCTGTATGTTACTGAACCAAGTATAGTTACAACTGGCCTATTATATAAAACACCTGGGAAAAGATGTGAAATACCGGCAGTACACATTTAATATCAAGATATTACAGGTATAAATGAAATTAATTGTTTGGAACTTTGTTTTCATTGAAAATTGTTCTTATTTGTTTGATTTTTCTTCAAGACAGGTTTCCTGAATTACGTCAACATTTCACTGTTTGAAGACTTTCTGAATTTTCTTTTAGTAAAAGATGTAAAATATTATTCAAAAGATGAATTTGTTTATATGTTTATTTATTGTAAATAGTAAAGTGCATGTTAAACATATTCTGAAAAATAGTTATGAATACACATGAAAATCTCACACCCCTGGTACCTCTACCAGGATAAGACTGTAAAGCGTATAATTTGCCTGTTATATGTCCATATTTATAAGCCATTGACTTCTCTAATGCTATATTGTAGTGCTCTATGATAAGCCCAGGCGACCTGATGAGAGGAAAATAAGGACTTGGTTTTTGACCCTCATTCACCCCTGAAGACACATTTGAATTCTTCCAATTCAAAGGTTGGAATAGTTATGAAATTTCAGGGGTGAACGAGTTGGCTATCAAACCAAGGATAACCATGTTATGGAAAGACGTTTATTTGCTATGGAACCTCTATGAATTATTGACTCACTTTAGTCTTATAGAGGGTATAACTATATATATATATATAGCTATTTGATCGTTCATGACAGCCTTATTCACAATAACTGTTTATTCACAGTGACTCTCTTGCATAACATTTATTGACATCCAACGTGGGCTTATCATCAATAAAATATGGTAATTGTTGCGTTGTTACTTCATGATGATGTTGTAAGTTCAATTGTCCAGTTTGGGTTGTGTTGTATCTTGGTTATCCCTATTATGAGATGATTTCTATGTGTTGTAGTAAAACGAAATGTACATTGTAGATTTATAAAGTTTGTTGTTCTTTGACTCATTCACCCTTGAAGACACATTTGAACGCTTCCAATTCAAAAGTGTGAATATAGTTCATTATGGAGTTCAAGGGGTGAGTGAGTTAATGTGCAGGGATTGCTGCATGTTATTTTCCTATAATTTCTATATTTTTTGCTCTCTTTTTGTACAATAATCATCCTTCCTTTCAGTTTTATAGTCCTTTTATATCTCAACCACTCTTTAAGACTTTAAAGACAAGAAATATATACATGAGTGTACAACTTTGTTTTGGAAATACAGTGATGAGTAAATTGTTACAATATAGTGGTGGTTTACTCTATTCGACACTTCCCGATTTTTACCAATTCATCTCTGCTTTCAAAGTCACCTTTTTTACAGAACCATATTTTGTGATAACTCGATAAATATTTATCAGATTATTACAAGCCATACATTCAGCCTTTAATCGAGTGCTATCCCATTAAAACACAAACAAATCTGATGAAAAGCATATTTCAACAAAATTTTATTTACAACTAGAAGAGTATGCATCCAGCATAAGCTGTTACAATCATATAACATGAACATATATATATACATGAACAAGTATCTGAGTATTTACTAAGTTTTACATGAACAAGTATCTTGAGTATTTACTAAGTATTAACTTAGTTTTACATGAACAAGTGTCTCAGTTTTTACTTAGTTTTACATGAACAAGTATCTTAGTATTTACTAAGTTTTACATGAACAAGTATCTGAGTATTTACTAAGTTTTACATGAAGGAGTATCTGATTATTTACTAAGTTTTACATGAACAAGTACCTGATTATTTACTAAGTTTTACATGAACAAGTACCTGATTATTTACTAAGTTTTACATGAACAAGTACCTGATTATTTACTAAGTTTTACATGAACAAGTACCTGATTATTTACTAAGTTTTACATGAACAAGTACCTGATTATTTACTAAGTTTTACATGAACAAGTATCTGAGGATTTACTAAGTTTTACATGAACAAGTATCTTGAGTATTTACTAAGTATTAACTTAGTTTTACATGAACAAGTGTCTCAGTTTTTACTAAGTTTTACGTGAACACGTATCTGAGTATTTACTAAGTTTTACATGAACAAGTATCTAAGTACTTCTAAGTTTTACATGAACAAGTGTCTCAGTTTTTACTAAGTTTTACGTGAACCAGTATCTCAGTTTTTACTAAGTTTTACGTGAACAAGTATCTGAGTATTTACTAAGTTTTACCTGAACAAGTATCTAAGTATTTACTTAGTTTTACATGAACAAGTATCTGAGTCTTTACTAGGTTTTACATGAACAAGTATCTGATTATTTACTAAGTTTTATGTGAACAAGTATCTGAGTTTTTACTGAGTTTTTTATGTGAATAAGTATCTGAGTATTTACTTAGTTTTACATGAACCAGTGTCTAGGTATTTACTTAGTTTTACATGAACAAGTATCTGAGTATTCACTAAGTTTTACATGAACAAGTATCTGATTATTTACTAAGTTTTTAGTGTCTTTAGTCAAACTTTAAATTCGACTTTTGACTGTGACATCATATTACAGGGTAAGAGTTTGGCTGTGACTAGCAAGAGGCTTTGTCGAATGTTGGACAGCCAATCTCTTACCCGAGGGTTGAGATTTCCCTGTCAACATGTACAGATGAGACCATACTTTTCTCCCATACTTAAAATAAACATGCCAGTGTCAATACTCCGTATCTATATATGCTTGTATTCTATGACGCGCATGAATACAATTATGTTAATGCTATATATATATAGAGGTGATGAACCCTGAACATAAAATCTGAAACCATTTAAAGCACAACATTAACAATGTTTTTATTTAATAATCCAACGACTGTAATATATCAGTTAAGATATCGTAAAACAAGTACAAAATTGATGAAAATTTAGCAGTCAAAACAAAGCCTTGTGTTTGGAAACTTTAAAATCTTCATCCTCGGGTGGGGATTCCTATTTCTCTTACCCTGCATGACAGGTGTTTCCGCACTTTTACCGGTGTGAGATTTCCTTGTCTCGCCCTAGGGTTGAGATGGGGGGATTCCCCTATTCATAACAATGTTATGACATCACTTCAATAATACAATGACGTCACGTCAACAATCCATCAACGTCACGTCAACCCTGAATTTAGCATGTAACGTTATCATTACATTGTGTATATGATACAAATTGGGAGAACAGGGTAAGAGAAAAAGAATCATTCACCCAACCTCGTGTTTGGAAACATAAGAATTCCCCCCTCGGGTTGAGATTCCCCTATCTCGCCCCCCAAGGGGGTGAGAGATTCTATTAATCTTTTCACTGGTCAATTTCTGTTTCTCACGGGCAAGTATGGGAGAACATTTTATCTTTAACATGGCAGACTTCAATTTCCATTGGTTCATTTATTACTGCTTTGATTTTGGCATTGTTTTCATATCCTTGTTGAATGATACAAATTCAAGCAGTGTTTAATGTTTGGTTTTAGGACTACATGAACTATTTCTGAAAGGTTATTTGTAATCAAATGATGCCGGTTATGTTGACGATTCCCTTAACTGCAAAACTTTGTAAGTATAAAAAAAAATGAAAGTACAGTATTCAAAATGTTGTCATCATATTGTTTAATATTGTAACACTTCCTACTATAGCTCAACGTATACAGCAGCAACAACAACAACAGAGACTGCAGCTTCATCAACAACAACAACAACAACAGCAACAACAACAACAGCAGCAGCAGCAACAGGCACAGCAGCAGCAACAACACCATCACCAACAACAGGTGACAAGTCAACAGATACAGCAGCTGTTACTGAACCAACAGGTGGGTAACCAGGGGATACGCATAGGTAACCAAGGGATACAGATAACCAAAGTGGTAGGTAGTGTTTCTAGCGTGTCTGTGTGACACTATCATCGGAAAGTATCACTATACCAGTTCATGGAGTGTAAAATGTGCATTTTACAAAAAAAATCATTGCAAGATGAAACACTTAAGCAGATCTTTATGTTGAACTTATTCATTAATCAGGAAAGTTGTGAACGACTGAAATTGAAAGGGACAATTTCTAATTCTAGGACTGAAATAAGGTTCTGGGGAACAATACTACCTTGTATGTATTTAGAGTTTGTAAGAAGAGGGTGTCTCTTTTGCCGTTTCGTGTCGATTTAGACATTGCGGCAATTAAATAATTAAATAAGACAATAGATTAACATTGTGCAATGCACAACGTTCATGCACAATATCCAGGGGTTACGCTCACTTTCGCTCTCTTCACCCCTGGAATATGTCATAGCAACATTGAAGTCACACGGCTAGCTACTTGATTGGTGTCGGGTGAAAAACACCTGACCTATCGCTATAGGCTGATGCTTGTTCTTTGAAGATTACAGAGGAGCGAGGCCCGACTTCAAAGCCAGTAAGTTTTACCGTTACACAACCGCGAGATTGTTTTGATGTACATCAAAGGATCAAACTTAGGTCTTGTTGTCTCATCCACAAGGTCCTGCACACTGAGCTTTGATTTTGCTATGACATATTGCAGGGTGCAGAGAGTGAAAGTGAGCGTAGCCCCTGGATATCCAGGATGATCAATGTTGTGATTTTAGTATGTATGCTTTTCGTTGAATTCAAAACAATTACATACAGGAGGTGAAGCTATCCATTATAGAAATCAAGATACATTGAATGTTCGAAACAAAAGGAAATCACCGTGAACTTTGGTTATTTGAATATTTTCAGGTGGTATTGTTAAGATGACTATTTTGCATGCTTATCATAAACTTTAGTTGTACATCTCTCCAGAGTCGGTGGTGGTTGAACTGATATAACAAGCTGTAGGCCTTCTCTTCATAGGCAGACATGCTTATTGCCATGATTTGATAAAAGTGTTTGAGGAGTTGAAGGTTGGGAGTTGACAGCCAAAACCTTTCGGACAAAGATTCTGGTAGTCAATACGGGGCAATGATAACACAATCCTGGTGCTATCTACATGGACAAATTGTTATTTATGAATTTAACCCAAGTACTGTACTGTCACTGCCACAATGCATTAGTATGAATAATTTCAAGTTATCTCATTGAGTTGTGTAGCAATTATCATTACTTAAGGTAATTGTGGGCATGCGATTCATTTCAGATTTCAACAAGTTTGTTGGGAGTTACATCCCTTTTCTGATAACTGTCTACCCTAGTCATGCTAGTATCAATGTTTGTCAGTCCTTCAGTTGCCGTTAAAGGTCGGTCTGTCAGCTGGGTGGGCACTTCCCATTTTTGATTGCTGGCGATATCATAATTAATTGGAGTTGATCTTAATTTATTCATCAACGATTCTGAGAAAATGTCAAAAGTACTGTTACTTACTTTCTTGACAGATATTTATTATACGTGATACACATGATCAGTACTTTATATGTAGATGTGCCTTGGGGATGTATTTTGGCTAAAAAATGCAATAGCTTCTTTCTATAAAAGACTTTTATAGCTTGCATATCCTTATTGACTTGAACTTGTTTATTTCTGCAGCAACAAGGACAGCAGATTCGCCAGCCTAACATACTGATGCAGCAGCAGCAGCAGCAGCACCCTCGGGGTCAGGCACCGATGCCCCAGGGGCAACAGGGGGCAATGGGTGGGGGCCCAGCCATCATGCAGGGAGGGATGCCGCAGATGACACAGCCTGGTCCAGCATCAGGACCAGCAAGTCAGAACCTTTTTGAAGATCTGAGCCTGGAAGGATTTCTGTGAGAACCATCTGACCAGTAAAGCCACGAAGTTACAGCAGTGATAAAGAAAGAGACTGACCATTTCAGTTACAGGTTGACCATGATGAAAATAATGGTCATTGTTTAAGGTCAGATAAAACTACCATGAAGAAATAAACAGCTGTATTAATTGTTGAGGTCAATTTTATGAATGACAATGGATAAATAGAGTTTACTATGTGGAAAAGCTTGAAAACATTGCTTTGATATCAGCAAAACGCTTTTTTGCCAGCTATTTAGTTTAACAATATTTGATGATAGTGACATGAGTTAAACACTGCTTCATGAATATGACCTAAGGTCAACAAAGGTTCATTAACATGACATGTGACCAATACAGGTTGATGCTGGTAGAAAGGTCAACAAAGGTTCATTAACATGACATGTGGCCAATACAGGTTGATGCTGGTAGAAAGGTCAACAAAGGTTCATTAACATGACATGTGGCCAATACAGGTTGATGGTAGAATAAGGTCAACAAAGCTTTAGATGGTAAAATGAGGTCAATAAAATAGATGGAGGTTGGTGCTTCATTGATCCATAAATCTAAAAGATATAAACTTGTCAATAAAGCTGAGACCTAAAATAGAAACTTGGACTAGCTTGACCATGTTACATTATGCTAGTGAGAGTGTTGTAATGTAGGTGTTTCTGTGAGCTGTATGTGATTTACACATTATCCATGGCCTAATTAGCATCAAGTTAATTATTTTTAACTAAGCATTATCAGATGGTAGACAGTTAAATTGCCTTTCATCTGTTGTTCTTTGTCAGTCTTTAAACAATTCTTGTTATTGCTATTTCTCAAGAAGCCTAGAACAGATTCTTCTAAAATTTTGTATTTCCCAAATTTCCAATGCAGGTTCCCATGGATCCTTGGTTTTGCGTGTTCAGTTTTGAGACTGATCAGAAGAGCAAGATAGCAGTTAAAAGCTTGTAATAGCTATTTCTGAGAGAAAAAGAAATCATTACAAATTTTCCTAAAATTTTATAAATTAAGAGGTTCTTCCTGTTCCCTGGTTTTTTATTTTGTGCTTCAAGAAGGTTGATCAAAAGAAAGAAAGTCAGAAAACTCTCTTGTTACACCTTAATAATAGGTCAGTCAACAAGGACATTTTACAAGGACATTGTCAAACACAGAAATAGGAAGTTTTGCTGAAAAGTTACTAAAAGATGCATAGACTGTTGACATGACTCAATCCAACAGAGAACAAAAGAGAATAGACCAAACTAATGGTGGGCACCAAGATCCCCAGGGATGTCCTGTTAGAAGTTTTCATAAGAAGAGAATAGACCAAACTAATGGTGGGCACCAAGATCCCTCAGGGATGTCCTGTTAGAAGTTTTCATCAGAAGAGAATAGACCAAACTAATGGTGGGCACCAAGATCCCTCAGGGATGTCCTGTTAGAAGTTTTCATAAGAAGAGAACAGACCAAACTAATGGTGGGCACCAAGATCCCTCAGGGATGTCCTGTTAGAAGTTTTCATCAGAAGAGAATAGACCAAACTAATGGTGGGCACCAAGATCCCTCAGGGATGTCCTGTTAGAAGTTTTCATAAGAAGAGAACAGACCAAACTAATGGTGGGCACCAATATCCCTCTGGGATCTTCTTTCAGAAATTTGCATGTTATCTATGAGATTTTTCAATCCTCCCATCATGATCAAAGTATAATGTTTTTTGGATTTTTTATGTTTTTTTAATATCAGTTTCTTTTATATACAGCTGTTTACATACCAAATCTTGTTTTTTCTTCAGTTACTAAGTATCTATTTATTGTCTAGCGATATTTGTTTTTCACATCAAATTTTCTTTTCCACATTTTGTTAAATTCACCCCTGCAATTGAAAGAAGTGACAGCCTAGAAAAATTACCTTGGAAAAGAAATTTTGAAATTCTTATTTTTTTTTTACATCATTTTGATATGGACAACATAAAAAGTTTACCATTCTGAGTTTCACATTATGTATCTTAAAAAGAATTCAAATTGCATTTGAACTGTATGATATAAGGATGGTGTGATAGAATTGATCTCACATCAGGACCATATGTTACGTTAAGATTTTATAATTTCTAGATCACAGCAAGTATTGCTGGTCATTCAACTTCATATTTCTGTCATCTGGGTCATTTAATTTTCTACAATAGTTCCTTTCCATTGATGATTTGATCAAAGTCCAATCTTTGTCAAAGATCATAGACCTTGAAAAGATGATGCTCAAAAGTGACATTTTGATTGTAAAGCTGAACATATTATAATATTAATATGAAGTCCTGTTATAAGCACGGGGGCCTGACACACACTACCGGTTGTACTATTCCTTTACATACAATCCCATAGTTACGGTGTCTTGTAATGTTGTCTCCGTGGAGATTAAGAAAGAGGAGTCACATACAGGAAATAATCTCAGGACAATGTTTATTTCCCGTAAACCGAGTCAAAGAATACAAGTCAAACCTAAATGAGATTTGTTTATGTTGATAAAACTTATAACTGCAAGCAAAATTATTTTATTGGCAGTTTTGTTTTTACGTTTATTTCTTGGGGGTTCATGCAGATGTGAATTTGATGTTAATGAATCGATGAACATGTTATTAATTATCTGACAAAACTACACTTTACAGTGTATTTATCCCATATAAATGTGAAAATAGCTCTGCAGGTATATATACTTTATTATTTATTAAGAATTCCCATCTCTGATCTGTTAAATGTTATCATTTTGACATCATGTCTGTTATTTTCGGTGTGATCTAAGAATGCTGTGATGTCATTTCTATTATTTAAATTCTGATGGTACAGTGAGTGTTAATGCATGAGGCAGTATACAAAACCTCCGTCAGTTCACCACATTACATCACATTACACCACATTACATCACATTACATCACATTACACCACATTACATCACATTACACCACATTACATCACATTACACCACATTACACCACATTACATCACATTACATCACATTACATTGCATTACACCACATTACAACACATTACACCACATTACATCACATTACACCACATTACACCACAGTACATCACAGAGAATCTTAGTATTCTGTAGATGGTGAATACATCCCGGCACTGCTATGATGATTCCTCTGTCAGATCACCACATTACATCACATTACACACGGGTACTGTACTACTGACCGTCAGGTTCGTCAGAGAATCTCAGTATTCTGTAGATGGGGAAGACATCACCGCACTGCTATGATGATTCCTCTGTCAGATCACCACATTACATCACATTATACACATGGGTACTGTACTACTGACCGTTAGGTTCGTCAGAGAATCTCAGTATTCTGTAGATGGGGAAGACATCACCGCACTGCTATGATGATTCCTCTGTCAGTTCACCACATTACATCACATTACACCACATTACATCACAGAGAATCTTAGTATTCTGTAGATGGTGAAGACATCCCGGCACTGCTATGATGATTCCTCTGTCAGATCACCACATTACATCACATTACACTCTGGTACTGTACTACTGACCGTTAGGTTCGTCAGAGAATCTCAGTATTCTGTAGATGGTGAAGACATCACCGCACTGCTATGATGATTCCTCTGTCAGTTCACCACATTACATCACATTACACCACATTACATCACAGAGAATCTTAGTATTCTGTAGATGGTGAAGACATCCCGGCACTGCTATGATGATTCCTCTGTCAGATCACCACATTACATCANTCACATTACACACGGGTACTGTACTGTACCACTGACCGTTCGGTTCGTCAGAGAATCTCAGTATTCTGTAGATGGTGAAGACATCACCGCACTGCTATGATGATTCCTCTGTCAGATCACCACATTACATCACATTATACACACGGGTACTGTACTGTACTACTGACCGTTCGGTTCGTCAGAGAATCTCAGTATTCTGTAGATGGTGAAGACATCCCGGCACTGCTATGATGATTCCTCTGTCAGTTCACCACATTACATCACATTATTCACACGGGTACTGTACTGTACTACTGACCGTTAGGTTTGTCAAAGAATCTCAGTATTCTGTAGATGGTGAAGACATCACCGCACTGCTATGATGATTCCTCTGTCAGAAATCTGGCTACTGTTATGATAAATTCAAATGGTTATATATAAGTGACTGAATCAAATGCTGCCATAAGTTCAGAGATCATCTCACAAAAATTGCTTTTGTGTGAGAGTTGCTTCTTATACAGGAGGAGAATATGGGTTCCATTTGTTGGTATTCAGTAACCTAACCTTGCCATTGCTTCTGTTTATTGATATGCCGTGTAGATGTTGTGTATGCTTGTAATCCCACCCCGATAGTGCTCACACAACTTACCAATAAAGAGGAGCGATGTGAAGATGTAATTTTAATGAGATCGGTTGTAAGGTTGGTGAGCATGGATCGTTGCTGCGTGTGTGAGATCAGTGTGATCAGTGTGAATACGAAGGAGCGAAATGAATAAAAGTGTGTTGAAAGTGTGAATCATATGAATACATTGTTCAAGTAGTGGGAAAGTGTGGTCGATGTACATGTGCATACAAGTGTGATCAGTATTAAGCTGTAAGAAGTGTGAATAAAGTATTTTATTCAAGTGATATGCATTGTGAAGTGTTTTATATGTTGAATTAAGACTAAAAGATACATTCAAGCCATTTAAACGACAGCTGATATTCACAGTGATTTTCTGAATCTGCTCTGAACCACAAAATCCAGTAAGTCAAATCATGTAACTGTGTATTGATACTGTCTCAAGCTGTGTTTAGCTCAATTGGCCCTACATAAGTGTAAGGAAGCGTTTGCTCCTTGTTTTCGCTACTAATTTTTTTCTCTAGAATGGAAGTCCTATGTTCTATTTCTCTAAATTTCCCATGAAGGTTTCCCTTGGTCCTTAATTTAGAGTGTTTCATTTTGAGAATGATCAGAAAAACAAGATTTTGACAGTTAAAGTTTATTGTTGCAATCATAGGATGGTGGGCTCCAAGATCCTTCTGGGATCACTTGTCCTTGCATCATTCAAAAGCAGAAAGAAAAAAAATGGAAAATAATGTATGAATCTTAATTTAGAAGCAGAGGGGTGGGGTGGAATTGATATTAAACTTCTCTTTTAAAATGAAAGGGATTTGGCCAAGAATATGGCACCCCTAAAGGCAAAGCGTTGTGGCAAAAAAAGAGGGATTGATATTGAAAAGACTACTCTCAATATATGGATAAAGGGATTTTTACCTAATTTGGTATTTGGCGTCACTGGGCCAAGGGAATAATGAGTCGGACATCATCAAACACATCTTCAAATTAAGAACAGGGTTATGACAACGAGACTGCAAGACTCGCTAATGCACTGGATCAAAAAATGTGGACAGTCAATAGAATGAAATATTTCCCAGTAGGATCATGACAGCATAACACTTAATCTGTAGTCTTCTTTATACTGCATCTTTGGAAATCCTGTAAGTGTGTCCTTCAGCATTCGAATTCCAAAAAGGAAATCGTGATATTTACAGGAATCCCTTGAATAAGTACATGTACTTAATCAGCTGTG